ATATATATACTGTGGGTCCTGACAGGTAGAGGGAACATTCTGGAATCCCTCTCAGCGTTTCACAGACACTTGTCTCAAAATGTTTTCACATGTGAGAAATGAACATGGGCTGAATGAGTGCTGAGTTTATCCTCTGAAAATGCGAAATCAACAGCTTTTTTTCTGAACTGTCATCACCTTCCCCACCCATCGAACTTCTTAGATTTATTCTGATCTGGTTTGTTTTTATGGTGAATGTATTGATGAGTTACTTGTTTTCTGAAATTTTATTTTTGGTGTCACTATTGTTAATATTGTTCTGTGTTGGTTTGAGCTGACACACATATGCCTTGTTATTTTTTTCCTCATGGGATATTTTGTATTTTTTTATTCATCTTTCACTATAGCTTTTGTTGGGTTTTTTTGGTTTATTGTTTTCCTTTTGATGTTAAGAACGTGTATCCCCATGACATTACCGTATACATTTTATTCTGTTGTCTGTACACAATGTTGCCATTATTAATGACTTTTGAACATATGCCATTTGAAAAAAATGTATTTGATTATATAAAACTAAATAAACACAACTTTTTTGTATGAATGTCTTTTTCTTGTATTTATGGCAACATTTTGGTTGGCTGTATAGAAGACCATTTCTACCACTCTAATGAAACAAAATATTCAGACGGTATAATACTTGTGATTTAGCATAGGAAAATTATGTCTCATAATTACACATAGCTGGACTATGTTATTTTCTCTGGAAATAGTGTGTGATTCTATTATAAATAAAGTGCAGAAAATAGAAATGGTAAATATTTTAGATAATTTTTAGCAAAAGTGCAATAACAAATAAGTGATAATGAATAATCAGGGGGTCTGTGGTAGCTCGGTGGTCAGCGCTGCTGTAGTACTGAAGCTGCTGATTTAAGTTCTGTTTGGGTCAAGAATGGTACTGGTGATAAAACAATTACCAAATCCATTATGCAAGTTTGTTTGCTGTGGAGACCTCGCCCAAGGGAGCAGTCAGAAGAAACACAACAACAAAAACAAACTAATTAACAAACACAATCTATTCATTTATTTCCTTTATTAGCTTCTTACAGGGTCACTGTACAAGAGGCGTGGTACGTTTTTTATTTATTGAACCTTTTTTCTTTTCAACAAACCAAATACAATTTAAATTACAAATTTCTTTTTCGAGAGAGGCCTGGGCTTGAAGGCAACCTAAACAAGCATTTTTTTTTTGAACATGCATGTTTAGGTTGCCGGGCGGCACAGTGGTTCGGCTGGTAACGCTGATGCCTTTTGGCAAGAAGGTTGCTGGATTGAATCCTGGCCCAGGGATCTTTCCGGGTAGAGTTTGTATCTTCTCTCCGTGCATGTGTGGGTTTTCTCCGGGCACCAAAAACATGACTGTTACTTTAATTGGTAACTCTAAATTGTCCCTAGGTGTGAGAGAGTGAGTGTTTGTTTGTCTCTATGTGTCTTTGTACTGCAGACCTGTCCAGGGTGTACCCCAGCCCTCAGTGGCTGCAGGATGTGGGCACCAGTGACCCTGAAAGGAAGAAGCTGGTTTAGATAATGGCTGGATGTTCAGTCTGGACAGAAACCTAAAGGAACAGGCTGGACAAGAACATCCTGGACAGGTGCAAGTCCATCACAATGACAAAAATAAATGAGAGAAAAAAACTATTACACTGTAAAAAAAAACCCATATCTACTCAATAAAAATGAGGCAACAGATTACAAGCAATATTATTAATTAAATTTTACAATGTTTGGAACTGAGTAAATATTAATTAAATGCAACTCTTAATACTTATTCATTTAATATAAATAGATTTGAATAGAAAACAGTTCATAATTATTTAAAACCTACACATAAATATTGAGTGGAATTAAAAACAATAAACACCTCATTGTGTAAATAGCAGTTGTGGGCACCAGACCGCTAAAGCGCAAATCCACTAATTGTGGACTTAAACTTTTAGTTTGCGCTTTAGCGGTCTTACTAATTTTTATAATTCATAAGCGTATTTGCACTTTTTAAATTTAAATTGCAGTTCCACTAATAACTAATTATCTACTGATCATCATTATCTTGAACAGCAGAAGGTATGACTGTCAGGACTCACAACACATGTGATCCATCCAACAACAACCCTCCCAGATAAACACTATATTTGGGAAGTTATACGTCCTTCCTGACTGTCGCTTTGTCGCTTTCGGCTCTCATTTCAGTAGGTCAGCTTTGCAAAGTATTTTTTCTGGCAGCAATCTAAATTACTCACATGGCTTCTGTTCAGTTATAATAAACACAGTGAAAAAGACAATATTCAGTAGCCAGCAGGGATCCACATTTTACAGACATTTCCCACAATGCTTTGTGTCTGCTTACATAGCAGGAAAGAACTCCCTTTCCCAGCAAAAAACAGTAAACGTTTGTAATCCATACTAAAATTTTGTATGTATTGACTTATTTTACTTTACAATCGGAGCTCCCTTTTTTTAAAAATAAAGTTTAAACGCTGGAGCTCAATACTTGACGTAATTGGTCGAAGCAACGGGAGAACCAGTTACATTATGATATATGATCAGTGGAAGAAACTTTTTGTCATCTCTCCTCAAATGTCTTGTGGCTGGCAGTTCACATTTCTCAAAAAGGAAAGAGAAAGTGCACTTTGACAGGAAGTGCTACTCAAATAAAAATTACCTGATTACATTAATTTGAAATCACTCAATATTATTTTTGTTTAGAATTACATAAACATRATGTTTATGTTTTATTTAACTACAATGACTGGATTTTACTCCAAACATTTTTATTTTAAATTTAATTAAATTAGTGCCTCAAAATCAAAAACACAATTATATTGAATATAGTTTACACAATATATTAATTAAAATGTACATAGCCACAGAATCATTTCTTTCAGTGTAGGCTTAGCATGTAATAGTTCAGATTCCTGCCTCCCTGATGGTATGGGGGTGCTATTGTGCATTAGTTATGGACAGATTACACACCTTGACAGCAATCAGTGATGCAGAACAGTTTATATAGGTTTTACATATGGTTCCACTCAGACAAGGTCTTCAGGGAAAGTTGGAATATTTCAACAAGACAAACTACACACTGCACCTCTTACATCTATTAAACATGACTTTATAGTAGGTTGAATAGTCAAATATTACAAACAAATGAATAGTATCCTCATTTGCCAGCTCCAGCCTCTCAGTTAGCAGTGCTGACCTATCATTAATCAGATCAATAGCTGGCTTATAGCCTCCTGCTACAAGGATGTAGCAACCACTGGTTGTGCAATAGTCTTAATTGTGTCCCTCATACCGCACCATAGAAAATACATTTTCTTACCATCAGTGTTGAATACTGATAGTAAAGTTGTCCTGTCACACTCACTCTTTTTCAACATGCAGAAGCAGCCCAACTTCATCCTTAGTCCAAATGAAGTGTTCATTATTTCAGATGTTGTTTTTCCTGCTCCACACTGCATCTGTGTTGAAATGCAGCATTAGTGTTGCCAAATAAATCAATAATAATTAACCCTTTTAGAACCTGTGCGCATGCACACCTCATTTTACAACCGTCCACCACAGAGAACGCACACCTTTATCACACTTGGGTCATAATACTACACAATCATTTTAA